AGCTGTTCAACATTCAACAAATTTGATTTAGTATTGACATGATGTACTAGGTTAGGTATTTTATTTAACATATCCTATGCCTGATTTGATGAGAAATGTTTTTCATTCAACAGGTTATCTACCTGAGTTGGTATGTAGCCAGGTGTGTAGTTTAATTCAGTTACATTAAACACCATCTGGACTGGGTACTCATAGTGATACACTGTGCAGGCTGGGGCAAATTCCTGAATTCTGGCATTTCATGCATTCATTTAATGTTGTCACTGGGCTTGAGAGCAAGACCTTCAGAGCAGAAAAATTAAGCTAATGCTTATTTCACACACTGAAAGCATAAAGTCCCTCTTGCCTGATTTATACACCTGTCTTGTAGCTCCATCACCACTGACAGGGTCTGACCCAAAAAAGGGGAAGTACAGTGTGAGGGTCTCTAGTTTGACTTGAAGGAGTTTTCCCAGCGTTTCTGGTCTGTAGTAACTGGTGCCAGATCTGGTGTATCCAGATCACTCTAAGGAATATTTTTGTGCACAGGTATGTTTATGCCATTCACTGCAGCATACAGGTATCTAGACACTACGTCTTGCTTAAAGACAGACTAAATGTACAGAAAACTGAGTGAAATGTAGATGGTGATGGAGGTTAGACCAGATGGTCCCTTGGGAGCAGTCCAAAGGAGCAGGACCCTCAGCGTGGGTAACAGGAGGTGCCGTCACGCTCCTAGTCTTTGGTCACCATTGCCAGGTGGGGAATGTATGTGTGTAGGAATGGGAGCAGACAGAGCAGCCACTATCCAGACTGCAGAGAGGAAGAAGAAATTTGCAGCCGGTTTACAGCAGACTGTGGTCAGACAAGCAGCCCCAGGGAGCAGCGGAGAGTCAGGGAAGGAAGCAGCTGCTGCAGTTCCATCATGCGCTGCAAAGTGCTGCAGCCACACTGGGCCCTTTGCAGAGGATGCTTTATTAAGTTACAAGGCAGTAATTAATGCCAAATTCCTCTCTTTATTTTCTCTGTGGTTGGGTTTCATAATCAAAATTAAAGATATGAGATAAGGAGCAGACTGCTTCCTGAAATGCAGCTCCCTGGTGCTCAGTTCATGACTTCAGAGACATTTGTCCAGTCCCATCTCTCTTTATGGGGAAGTAGGTCAAATGCTGTTGAAGTAGTGCTTTTTTCTAGAGCAGATGTGCTCAGTCCAATGCTGCACTGCAGGAAAGAAGCAAAAAGGGGGGGAAAAGAGTGACGGAGACCTACTATACACTCCATCCCCAGTATGGCTGCTGTCAGCTCAGCCTTTGCCCACCACAGCACACGGTTCCTCTGCCAAGCTGGGGACGCCCCATCTCCCGCACACCCTGGTTCATATTGGAAACAACAGTGAAGTCTAAGAGATCCTAGATGAAGAGGGACCTGAACTTAGTAGCCCAAATAACTTTTCTTTCTGAGTTGTTTCTTGCACTAGAAGTGAATAATGAAATACCACCTTTTTTTGTTTTTTAGTATGTCCTAAGACTGCATGTGTCCTAAAATAGAATCTTTTCTTCTTCCAGTTCTGTTTTCATTACCCCTAGGTTTTGACGTTCTGTTCAGAGATATTTTCAGTATAGAATGCATTAAGATAACATAAATTCTGAATCAGACATCTCATTCAGCATATTTCCTATTTAAATTTCTCCTGTACATTTCCCCTGTACTTATCTAAGGGTTGGCTTCTTTATTTGTATCTGTTGTCTCATGGTAACTGGTTTTGCAAAAGAGCAAAAAAAGAATGCTTGAAGAGAAAAGAGAAAATTCATTGCTCACACAGCCTTGCTTCAATTCAGTGTTCCTTCCCTATGCTGAAGTTTATTGATCAGAAAAATGCTACAGTTGTTGAATAGTTTGTTTTCATTTCACAAATGTGAATCAGGATTAATGCAGAAAGATAGGAATGTGTTCATCATTAGAATTTGCTTTACACATTCATTTATTTTTTAATCTATAATTCTTATTGAACTAAGAAAACTCACAGGGTATGTATCACCACAGAGAACAAAAAGAGCTTGATTAAGCCAGATGGAAGAAGATCAGCAAAGCGCTTTCCACAGTGCAAAAATACAAACTTGAGAGGCTACTTCATGCTAATAATGAGAAATGTTATTTTCCGAAAGTTGGGGAAAATTCTTGGGGGATTCCTATGTGCCAAAGGGCTTAAAAACGCTTGGCTAGGGTACAAGATTTTGGACATGCTGAAGCCGTTGGTAGATCTGTCCTTTTAGATCATGGGGTATGTTTTTAAACTCTCTTGCAAACTCTCTAGCTCTTCTTTCTCCAAGCTGGAAGCTTGGTAGCTTTGTGGTCAAGCTGGGGATATGGGCCTATTAGATGAGACATGATGCAGTGCTGGTGTAGCCATGTGTCCTGGAGTTTGCCAGGGGCTCACATCTAACCAACTGGGCAGAACAAACTCAGCTTTTTGTAAAGCAACACATGGCTCCACCTTGAATCAGCTCAGGTTCTTGTTGCATCTCCTCCAGCATGGCAGGCTTGGTTCATGCTGTTCAGAGTACCCATAACAAGCAGTGGTCAGGCAGTGCCTTCCATCTTCCCATTGATGCTGTTGGGTTTTGGTGGCCATTAAATGAGGTTATGTCTGGTTTCACTGTCTCTCTTTACCTCCCACTCCTCCTTTCAGGTCTCTTCATTAGATGCAACCACTGTTGCAGATTGCTTTTTGAAAGCAGTATGTGTCTGCCCTTTTAGTCATTCTCTCCTACCAATATAACAAGCATAAAGCTGGGCCCTATGAGGTCTGGGGGGTCACAGGACCATGCAGCTGCAGGAGTCCATCCAATCAAGTAACATCTTTTACCCTCATAATGATAATTTCCCACTTTAGCAAAACACCCTGCTGCCAAACTCCAGTGATAATGAGCCTGTCAGTGCATCAGTGTGCTCCCAACAGTATCTAGAAAGCAGGGATTTTTTTTGCAAGGCAAACAAAGACACTGATGATTAGCAAGAACAAGCCAATGATTCAATATATTGCTGGCCACACGTACCAAATCATTGATTTTTCTGTCCTGCTGGGCAGCAGCTGTTCCATTTGCTCTTCAGAAATGTGGGGTTTTTTTTCTCTAGAAGTGTCTGGAAAGGTGGATGTTTCCCCAAGAATTGGAGGCAGCGGGCAGTTGCTTGTTGCAGTGGGTTTGGGGATGTTGATGGGGTCCTTCTGAAGCTGCTGAGAAGTCTGATGGGGTTTCCAGTATTAAACTCTCCTTTTGAATCCATGTGAATGCAGTGATTGGATGGAAAAAAATCTCCTGTGAGAATCCGTATGAAATCACAGGACAAAAAATGCTGCCCTAAAACTTACAATCACTGAAAGAATTATAAGTTAATCATAGATATCCTTATATGACTTCTTACTCTATACCAGTTATGTGTAATCAGTATCTTACAGATCATCTAGTCTCAGCAGTGTTGCTATTTTCATAATCCTTGCTTTTTCTATCTGGCTGGATTGAAATGGGATGTCTACACTGTAGCATTTCGGAGTCAAATATATGACCCCAAGTCAGTGGGACTGCAATCTGCTCTGCAATGAGAGTCTTGATGTTTTGTCTTCTTTTTTTCCAAGGTACCTACGTGATGACAGTGACGGCAAATGATGCAGATGATGGTACCACAGCAAATGGGATGGTGAGATACCGAATTGTGACTCAGACCCCGCAGAGCCCATCACAAAATATGTTCACTATTAACAGCGAGACAGGAGACATTGTCACTGTGGCTGCTGGACTTGACAGAGAGGTGAGTTTAAAGCCATCATACCAGGTTCTCCGTCATTGAGGGTTGCTGACTTGCAAAGCCCAGGTCTGGTCTCGAATACAAAGCCTCTAAAAGTTTTGTGTTGCTGTGTGGAGATGGTGGTCTTCGCTTCTGGGGCATTGTGGTTTAAATGTGGTATTTTTGTCTTAATCCATATCAGTCGATGAAACCCCAGGAGAAGCTTCAAACCCGTGAAGCTGATATTTTCCTTGTGTAAATTTGTACAACTCAAAGATATGGAAAATACTCCAGGAGGAGCAGGGGGATGAATAAATTGGCATTTGTCCACCTTCTTTTGGGGAACAAATAAATGCCAGCCATCTATAGCCCATTTTAGGCCTGTCTTGTGTAGTTCTGTGCATGGGACCTTCGGAAGCAGTTACACAGCCCGTGCTCTGCACACTTTGCATGTTTCATGATGGCATCCTTGAGTCATTTTCAAACTAGGAAAATGTCTTCCAGTGGTTTTGGTTTTGCCTTTAATGCCTTTTCTTCTGGGCATTTTATAGTATGCAGCTTTTCCAAATGCAGAAAAAAGTTCTATTTTTACTGACAAAAATATACTTTACCCATGTAAGCTACATAGTGTGATTCTCAGAGCTCTGCCTTCTCTAGTTGTGAGTGTAGCTCAAGAAGGAAGCAGTTACACCTCATGCTTTAAACAAAAATCAGTGTGGTGGATTGGAGTGACCTGGGAAGGAGGGGATGGGGATGAAGGGAGAGGGTTTTTTTCTCATTGAACTGTGCAGTTAGTGGAGTGTCACCTGTCCTATGCAATTAGGAGATCTTGATCAACTGAGGAATGGGAAGAATGATTTGTTCATTCAGCAACCAGCCATAGGTACTACACCTATGCAGCAAATACAAAAGTAAGGACTTTGATAGTCTTAGGCTCAAAAGTTTAAGTTCAGGCAGTCCCCAGATAACGAGTTCAGTGAAGTCCATTTTGAGAGAGCCCAATGTGCTGCACTTTGGAGAGAAGGCACCAGAAACTGATTTCGTTTTTCCTTTCTATGCTTTCCTCTTTTCTTCCCCCATGACCAATGACAGGGACAGGGTGGCAGGAGGCCTCACACCCAGGCTGGTGCAGAGGTTTCCTGCCTGGGACTCCAAACTCAGAGGCTTAAAAACTTTCAGCACCTCAGACATATTTTTTTTCCCTTACTCGTCAGCCCTGGTGGCACTTCCCTGGCCCTGCTGCAGAGCACTCTGCCAGCTTTTGTGCCCATTTCATTGGCATGCCCAGGGCCGCTTTTTTGCTTTGCAGCTGCGTGGTGGCTTTGGGAGGAATCCCAACTGCAGCTGTGGAGCTGGGCTGAGGGCAGATGAAAGCATTGCCAGCAGCTCAGCAGCAAGCAGAGCACCCCAGGGTAGCCAGCAGGACTGGCACAGGGGCTGGGGAACTGGCTGGGAACAGTGTAGGTTTGGGGCTTGCCCAAGGCACAGTTTCAGGGCGAGTCAACCCAGAGGTAGATGCTCTGTGAAACAGATTTCCAAGGAGAAAGTTGGGTGAGCAAAGAGCTTTCCAGATGTGAAGATGAGAAGCAGAGCTAGGGGAGCAGGAGGAGCACCAGAGCCTGCTCCTTCCCACCTGACATGGCATAACCTAGGGCAGATTTGACCTTTCCCTGCTCTTTTTATTTAGAGAACTGAAAAGTTAGCTGAATCTTAAACAGGTAGATTATCCTGGGCAATGTAGAAGCCTGCAGCGTGTTTGCTGTCAAAGGGAAGCAAGTGCTGTAGAGATTGCTGGCAGCCCTCAAGGGGACAGTGGCACAGTGCTCAGAGGAAAGATGGGAATTCTGGCAGGAAAATGCTGATTTTATGGAAATGACAGAACTGTTACTGCCCCCTTGACATCAGTGGAGGACAGCATTTTAATGTAGGGCTTTAAGGGTAAAGAAAGGTCATCTGCTTATATTCATTTCAGAGGTATAGATTGGGACAGCTTGGTGGGAGAGAGGTTTGAATCTCAACAAATCAGCTGAAAAAAGAGGCAGGTGATAATTAGGGGGAACTGATCAGGCAGAACACTTCTCTGTTTTTAAATGTATCTCATGTGCTTCGTGTTAGTTTCCTGTTGCACTGGGTCTGGGAAATCAAGGTAAGCTGGCATCTTCTGTGTGAAAATATGCTGTTGAGTGTCCCAAGCTGAGTACCAGGTTGGGCAAGGGATGCTTGGATCAAGGCAGAGCAACCAGCTCTGGGCACAATCCTGGGGCTGCCCTGAAGCTACGGGACATGGTTATTCCCAACACTCTCTGCTGCATTCCAGGATTACATCTAGAATTTGCAAAAGTTTTTGGGTTTTTTACTTAAAATTAATTTAAATTAATTCTAAATTGAAGAATATGTTTAAAAACTCCCATAACTGTACCACAGGTTTGGATTTTTTGTTTGTTTGTTTTTGTTTGGTTTTCCTGAAATTTTGAGAAAGCTATTAGAGGAGTAAATTTGGTTTTGCTGGTGACATTTTCTTGTTGTTAGGAAAAGGAGCCGAAGAGCAGTATTTGGAATGCAGATTTGTGTAAATTAAAATGTTAACAAATCTGACCTATTCAGCTGAAACTGCTACAACCAAGATAAATTCCCTGGATACCAGTTATTTCTCCAAATGCTTATTGACACATTTTTCAGTGCCTATGACACTATTATGTTAAGCTGTGTTGAACAGAACCAGGCTTTCAGTCTCCCTTGGACCCTTCTACCTTGTTTCTGCAACGCAAACGCGCCTGAAAGCAGGTGCAAAAATAACTGTCAAAGCTGTTCTGTATCAAAAAGACAGGTCTGTGTTCCAGATCCAGCATTTGTCTTTCAGAGAGGAGAATCATCACTCCAGAACTCATGTTGCTAGCTCAGTGTTTCTGTTGTGTGGCCACAAAATGAGATTTTCCAGTGCTCCCAGCATTTTCACTTAAATATTGATCCGTTACTGGTTTCTTACATTACCTTCAATTCATGAAATGTCCAAGAAACTGGACAAAGTGTTCCCACTTGTTTTGTGTCATGAGAATTGTTTTGATTAACCTGGAAGAAACCTATTTTAAGACAAATTCATGTAGTTTGCTGCTGTTCGTAAAAACCTCATTTCCACAAACCAAGGAGGAAATTAAAAACTCAGCCTCTCAAATTGAGCTGGTCTCTCTAAATGTGTCTGACACGGAAGATAGCAAAATGAAAAGCAAAGGTATTAAAATATTGATGGCTTTAAAGTTATCTTACCTGGTTCCCATTAATCTGGATGTAAATATGGTTACAATGCTCTGTGTCCATTCACTCATTACGGCTGCGCTTAATTGAATGGATCCCCAAGGAAGATAAAGATAATTGGACTGCACTTCATAAAAATTATTAAAGGAGGACAGTTTAGCAACAGCCTGATTTAAGCTCTTGGATTCTTAAGGGTGAGAAATGCCAAAGGTGTGTAACAAAGGAGCATCTATTCCTTGAACTAATAGGGAAAACAATAGGGATTTAGAGTGCGCCAGAGGTTCAAAGGTACATTCAGCCAGCCAGGCTTAGGTGTAAAGGTTAAAAGCAGATACTTGCTCTAATGTAGGAAAATGTCAGGGAAATGTAGGAAATCTGTATTTTTTATGAAACTAGGAGGGAAAGATCAAATAGTGGTAGGAGCACAAAATGGATACATTATTAGGGAAGTCTATGGACATTAAAGATGGACAGGTTGTAACAGAGATAGAAGGGGACCATGGTATATTATCTGATCTATAGCAAGCTGCTGCAGAAATGGGTGGTACTACCAGGAGTTGCTACCAAACAGCTTAATTTAGCAGTGTGTCTGAATTCCAGATTTCATTGCTCTATTTTTTTTCACTGAGTAGAAAATAAAAAGAAGTTAAAAAAGGTCAGCTGTCCCCAGCTGGGGCTTGGAAACAGGCAGAACATTTGTAATTCTGTTTTCTATTCTGAAAAGTAACATTTCTCCTTATAACCATGCAAATGGACCAGCTCTGTTGTGTTTGCTCATTTAATCCACTGCTGCTCACGCTGGCATTCCAGTCGAGGATCGAGCCCAGACTGTCAGTCTGACTGTGACCTCCTGGTGCAGTAATTCAGCTCCATCAGCTCTTTTTGATTTCTCTAGTGGCAGAATATCTGTCTCAGTAGCACAGTAAACCTGCACTGGGGCTGTAGTATAGGCAGTATCATCCTCTGAAGAGCTTCTGCTAAATATTTTATGAACACGGACTTTGAGCGAGCGGAAGGGGAAAAAAAAAAAAAAGAAACAAGAGCAAAGGAGCTGGTTGATCCCACACTCTGCTGGCAGGCCAATAAATGTCGAGATGTCTCAAATGTCATCCAGGCTTATTTGAGATAATAAGTATTTTGGCTCTGTGGTGCTTGTAGTGTAATGTTGCTAACTTTTTGAGATCTCCTTTAGAAAGGAGTCCCTTCCTGGCACATTCATCTCGTGTTGAAGAAATGAAGCAAGTCAGGAGCTCTGAGTTTTGGTATGTTTGTATTTCTTTTTAAAAGTGATTGGAGCTCTGCTGCTGCAAGTGCTTTTAAAAATACATGAAGTCCTATTCTATGATTACTGCAGTTGGCTTTCTGGAAACGTGATGTTGCTAGTCTTTCTCAAGTGAGTGAAAGATAAAAGGCAGAGCCTGCCAACAACTGAGTTAGCGGCTTATTTTATTTATGAATGAAATGGCAGGATTTTTGTGGGAAGAGGAAAAGTTCTTCTTATTGGCAGAGACAGTTGATTTCTTTTCCAACACTCAGGTTTTGGTGCAACTAGACATTTCTGATGGAGCAGAAATTTGAAATGCTATGTTTAAAAAAAAAGCAGTACTCTGTCCCTCCAAAAACTAAGCGGGGATTGTTTTTTACCATCTGTGGTAACTATTTGGGATCCAGGTCACTGCAGTAGCTTTTCAAAACTTTGTTACTTCATTTCAAATATTGGCCAGCAGTCAACAAGGCATCGCGCTGGTGATAGGAATTAGTTAAGTCATTAG